TCCGCCCCATCACGCTTACGCAAATAGTCAGACGCATCTTTGAAAAGTGCTTCCTTAATCTGATTACGAGCTACCCCGGCTCTGCTACCCATGCTACCCAAGCTGGCTTCAAATCACGGAACTCCTGTCATACCTAAGCACTTGCCGCCATGAAATCTGAGACACAGTCAGAAGAGGTTTTCAGAAGAGGAGTTGAACGACGTCTGTCTGGACATAACAAGGTTTTATAAAGCATACGACAAGGTCGCTCTCCCACGCTTATGGGTACTTCTGCGCCACGCTGGAATGCCTGAAAACTGAATCAACTGCCTCCGCGCGCTGTTTGGGAGGGTCCCTACCCGAGTGACATACCGCGGCATGCGCTCGTCTCTATTCTATAGAACGAATGGCATCCTACAAAGCTCAATCGTCGGCCCCGAGCTCTTTATTATCTACATGGATTCCTTAGTTGTCACGCTAGCACAATTTCGGCCCAAGATCCTCCGCTTCTATTTATTTGTTGATGACACACAGATCCAAGCCCCCCGATCGGTTTCGCTCCAGCCCTTCTTAGACGACATTGATGCGTGGGGACGCAAATCTGGCCTCGAACAGGGTGTCATTAAACCCCGAGTACAGTCTACCGACTTGCAACACGCGGCGCCAGCCCTCCGTATAAATGGTGAGCTTATCACGCCGACGCTTGCAGACGCACCTTGGAACACACGTTACCTCCCCCTGAAGATGGCGCCCACACATGCCGAACCAAAACACCTCTCACGGAGTACCAGGAATCAACCTCGCCAGACATATGGAATCCCTGGTTGCAGCATTGTCACTGGGTATCGCCTCTTTCCGCGCCTATGGCTTCCATGGCTTCAGCTGGCGACACCCCCGCAACCGACTGGTGATGTTCAAAACATTCATCCTATTCACGGCTACATATGGGCTGAACATTATTGACTGGGCTCCGCCTATATGGAAAGATGCGTTGGACCCCCTGTTCGAGCGCTTTAACTCAGTACTCATCCAAGCAGCAGCCATCATCACGGGCACTAAATATCCTCGGTTTCCCAAACATCAAACACTTTTGCTGCCTGCTCCCCGCGCGACCATTCGCGGACTACCTCGGAGGTTGCCTGGGAATACAACTTGACTCAATGGCCAGCACAAATTCACTTACCCCTCTGACGCAACCCACCTGGGCCCACGATAAACCATCACTGCGCTTCTTGTACAGTATCTTTGCTCACCTGAAAACTGTACACAAAACCACGGGCGGGCGTACACCTGATCATGTAGCCCTCCGCCAACGCTGTGACGACAACTGGAAAAACTCAACAAAACGTTGGTCCAACAAGGAGATCGCGGCAATGGCCCGGCGCCAATACTACTACCAACTGGTTATGGGTAAACCGCCAACCTCAAACTGAGACACAGCAAGACACGACAGCTTCAATCGCTGCTTCGAGTCTACACCAATCCGTCTCTGTGCTATGATTGCAACGAATACGTACATGTTTACATTGCTCGACTACCGCACCGACAGCTGTCTCTGCCCTGTCTGCCCCGGTAGCCACAAGTTCACTACCAGCCACTTTACCGGCATCCAACAACTGATTCGACGCATCTTGGTAGGCCCGAAACTGCCGCCCATTAGCCCTGACCCCCTTCAGCAAATACAGGAGTGCCACGACTTCCACGGTATCTGGACCCTCCACGAACACCTTGTATCTTTTCTCCAGCATGTTGAAGAACCACCGTACCCTCACCCGTCCCTGACACATCAACAGATGTTCCCCATACCCCGGCTAATCACGCTGTTGAAGTACTACTTCCAAATTTCGGTTCAAACCAAATCATCGCGCTTGTTGGTTCCGCCTATGATACTTCCGATCCAGGCCAGCCAACACATACCGAATTCATCCGTGGTCTGGTGCGGCATTGGCTTACCCCCATCCTCGCTCCTCGACCGGATTATGACTGATAACCTGGTCCTTCTCGGTATTTCGTACTCTGCACTAACCCATTCCGCCGCACTACACGGCGCAGACTCGATCCGTACCACAGAGGTGGGTACTCTACTTAGTAGGTCAGCAAGCGAATATATGGAGCATTCGATAGTAACAGTATTTTGTCAACACCGGCCCGAATTGACTCAGCGCATATCTTCCATTGTCGACTCACTTGGCCCAAGCTTCAAACGGGAATTTACTGACCACTTCTTCCCATCAATCTTTCCTGAACCACTACAGCGACTATGAGAGCCATACCATATGTTCATACATTGTAACATACATACTTGTCATTTTTGAAATAAATAATATTATCCCTATTATATGGAGTGTACATAGACTGTAGACTGTAGAGTGTAGACTTTGTTGTTGTGTGTATTGTCGAAGTGTAAACACTAAACTGTAAAGGCCTGGAGCAGTAGAGGCCTAAATAGAATGACGGGAAAGGATCAGGGACACGGGACATTGTCGAGTTGTATTTTTCTTAATTGTTTTTATTTAAAAAGTCCTTTTTCACATAGGTCTCTTCTTGTGAGATGAACGGTCAGACATGGGTTTACGTTTTTTTAAACGAAAAACTCTTTTATTGAAAAAGCAAATAAATTAATAGACAGAGTGTTATGTATGTTGTAAATACATAAATAATATAAATACCTTTCACTAGGTTGCATCCAAAAAGTAAAATACTTTTCATTTATTTTTAAATAAAGTTTTGACATTATTATGGTTTAATTATGGTTATGTAAGTATAACAAAGGTCTGAAAATTATAACGAAGCCATATATTTGAATACGCACACCAAATGGATGTCATTGGTTGCCATGCATGAACGTGAATGTTGATTTTGAGCAAGTATATTAAGCCCTCTATACCACAATAATGGGTTCTGAACTAATAATATTTATATATATAATATATGAAAACCCTTAGAAGGTTCATACTGTTTTGAATACGCGACCCGGAAATCCAAGATTTGGCTTGGTCGAAAAGGGCACAATCCTGCTCATACATACATCAATAAATAAATACAACTGTAACTGCATGAACCATTCAACCAATAGAGCTTTCAACTTGGCGCCTTCGCAAAATTCTTTTGAAATGTTTCTAAAAAAAAGTCCTTTAAAAAACAATATTAGGATTACATCAAAACCCTAAAAAAAATCGACCCCCATAGTATATGGTTGGGGTGTTATTAGAAAAACTAAAAACTTGTGTGGCATCATTTTCCCTTTTTTCCCTTTTACTCATTCACGTTTCCATAAGTACGGTTTTTGTACAATTGTTTTGAAAACTTGGCTGGGATTTTTTGAAATAACGGTGTCCGTCCGGGTTTTGGACGATTTTGAAAAAGTTTATTTTACGTGGTTGGCACTTGGCAGTTCCAATATACAGAAAAACGTTAAAATTATATACACACAAACGTACATATATTTACATTGAATATTATATTTAAAAAACATTGCAACGTAAAAGTCTGCAGAGTGCAGAACTGTAGAGTGCAGACTGCAGACAGTGCAGAGCTAAGCTCATTACGTTTTGCCTATATGCGATAAACTTTAAACGTAAACGCAAAAAGTAGCAAAAGTAGTTTTTAAGTGTTTTAATGTATATCGGGGGCAATTTGGCCACATTTTTTCCCTCCAAATTTGCACATGAGAATTGACCTTTTTAAGTTAAAAGGCGAATTCAAACTATTTTAACAACTGTCACAAAGTGCAAAATAGGGTAATTCGTGACAGTTAGGCCGCCTCAAAAAATGAACCTATTTGTAAACCCATAGGACTTTTAACGTAAACGCCTTTTTTTTTTTGAATTCTTTGAGTTTTAACGGGAAACGTAATGAGGTCAGGTGTAGAGTGCAGACTGCAGTGAGTGCAGCAGACTTAGCATTTTGTCAGTTTGCACTCGGCTCTAAATAGTAAAATACGTCCTGCTTACGGCGATGTATTTACTATTCTAGAGAGAGAGAGTAAGTTGTCAGTAGACTCTCTCTCTCTTATTAGGCTCTCTCTCTCTCTCGGAGAGAGGCAGTCTCTCTGTAGGAGACTGAGTACAGTGAGTAGACTCTCTATCTAGCTCAATCCGTTAATGATATACAGAATAAAAGTTGAACGTAAACGTATACTGATTCGTTTTTAAAACGTTAAAAGGGGTTCACAGGTCAAAATAGAAACGAAGTTCTCAAATTTGCACTCAACATGTAAGCCTAAATTTTAACGAAATACTACATGGCAAAAAGCGACCAATGAATATCTATTATACAAAACAGTGATTTCGACTGACAGGCGGGCCCGCCGGGTTAAAGGCAAATTGATGGCCTGGAAATTGCACCACTTCAAATTCCATAGGGCTATACAGAATAAAAGTTGAACGGAAATGTTTACTGATTCATTTTGAAAAAGTTAAAACGGGAAACTGAATGAGGTTAGTTAAAATAAAGACTCTAGTACTAGAGAGTATTCAGTAAAAAGAGAGACTAGAGAGTCGGCTACGAATAACTAGAGTAGTTGGAGTTAGTATATGTATTTACATTCGAGTTTCGACTGTACTTTTATTTAATCTTTAAAAAAAACAAGAGGTTATTAATAAATACCAATAAAATTAGGTATCGGCTACTGTTTCAACTTGTTTATTTTTTGAAAGGTCTTTTTTTAAAACAAATGTACTATGTACATATGTACAAGTTTAGAAAAATGAGATTATTTATAATATATCATATTTTTTATTTTATGAGAATACGGTCTGTTGGCTGGTGCTTATAGACCTAAGGACTACTGATTGGGATTCTCGATTCTGGTTCTCTCTCTGGGACTCTGCAGTGTCTGCAGTTCTGCACTGTTACTCAGTGTCACTTCGTCTTCTGCTACATATTTACCCCTCTGGCCCCCCCTCTCTCTCTCTTTTCTCTCGCTTGTGTCTTGTGTTCTTGTGTTATATGTGTGTCTGGTGTCAGTGTGTGACACTGTGACTGTGACTGTGTGTTGCAACTCTGCACTCTTGTGGCAGTCGGCAATCGGCAGTCGGCAGTCGGCAGTCGTCAGTCGGCAGTCGTCAGTCGGCAGTCGGCAGTCGGCAGTCGGCAGTCGGCAGTCGGCAGTCGGCAGTCGGCAGTCGGCAGTCGGCAGTCGGCAGTCGGCAGTCGGCAGTCGACAGTTGACACTCTCGGTGACACTCTCGAGTCGAGTGAGTCTCGACTCTCGAGTCTCCGCACTCGACAAATCTCTGTCTGTGGATCTGGACTCTGGACGCCTGGAGTCTGGAGTCTGGACCTAACCTCATCATTTGGCGTCTCGTCTATAAAAGCCCACTGTTCAACGTTTAACGGATTATTTTTAGCGTTGCAACATATTTTGGCTTATTTTGACCTGTCTATTGTGACCTGAATAGTGCAACGAATCCGTCTTCAGGACAAAGTTCTAGTGTGTATAGCTGTGTATGCCCATTGTCTGACCTGGAATGGGACACTTTAATGGAAGTACATATACGTTTGATTTTCAACATTTAACGTATCATTTATTTACGTTGCAACTTATAACGATATGAGGTTTGCTCTGGACTCTCTGGACACTTGCAAAATCACACCAAAACAACCCATTTTTTTAAAGAATTTTATTTACTTTTGAAGTGAACAGTTGAACACGACATAAATTACAGAACCGACTGCTTATTGTTGAAGCATATTTGAATCTATGGTATCGTTTCAATTATAGTGTAAGCAGTAGAAAAACGTACGGAATGCCAGGTTTGAGCGGTAATTTTAATTACAAACAGTCGAGATACATGGTTGTGAACTTTTGAGTTCAGCTCCCATATAGCATTCAGAACAATCACGTTCCATAGGTATATATTCCAGTAGTGTTAACAGTAATTTTCTTTAGAACTACAATTCATTCAATTTATTCAATTATTCATGCAAAATGAAAACCACAGCGGGTGCTGCAGCGCAAACGCCTGCAAATCCATCTAGTATAGATAATGAACCCCCAGAACTCAAAGAAGGGCATACCACGATACGAAAGAGACTTAATGGAGGGTCCATGAAGAAAACGAAGATGGAGAAATTCTTCGGAGAGCAGTACGGGAAGAATGGACTTGAAATTATGGCTGGCGAACGCGAGCTGTTGTCTGTGCAAAGAAAGAATAAGATGGAAAAATTCTTTGGAGAGGCTTACGGTAAAGCAGGGTTAGAGATCAATACAGAAGCCGTGACGGCGGCTGTAAAATCGAAGTCTAAGATGGAGAATTTTTTCGGAGAGATGTATGGCAAGAACGGCCTCATGTTGACGGGGAAAATGTTCATAGACGGCTCCGAGAAGCCTGCACCAGAACTTGACACACAGAGTATCGTATCTATGCTTAAGAAACCCAATAAGAAAAATATTGTGTACAGTGGCAGCGATAGTGACAGTGTACAATCGGCAGGGCCAATACCTACCAGAATCAACCCCGACAATGTGAGTGTATCCTCTATACTCAAACAGCCAACACGCCACTTCCACACGGGTCACGCTGTTGAGAACATATCATCAGGGTCTTCCAGCGCATCTCTTGACAAGTTGGAGATGGGTCCACAAGTGCACTCTTTACCCAATTTAAGCCTTCCTGGCGCACTCTCACGCAGCGATCCCCACAGTATATCTAGTTCTCGGGAAGCTAAAGCGCCTGCTAGATCCAATAATGGTACTACCGAAGATGGTGCGACGAGTCCGACCGACGATAGTTTCTCCATATCGAATCTTCTCCGTAATAGATACAGCGTGAGGAAGAACGAGGCTGTTAGTGATTCGGATAGTAAACCACCATCCCGACGTGCCAGTATAAGTCTTGATGAAAAGAACCTCAATCCAAATTCGGCTGTGGGTGGACCTCCTCCGGATAACCAGATCCGCCGAAGGAATACCGACGGGGATGAGCCGGTGTCGGCTGAAGCCACCAAGGAGACATTGCCTACTAATGGGTCGGTCCTGTCTCCGAGTGTGCAGCGTACCAATTCTCCACGTAAAGCAAAGCCGAGTAAGTCAGACACTCGGCCCAAGCCACTCGTAGCTAAAAGCAGTAGCAGTGCCGGTAGTGTCCAACGTAGGACCCCGAGAGCAGGTGGGGTAGGCGACGTAAGCCCCAAAACTCGTATGTCTGGGTCTGTCGAGAACTTTATCATTGTAAAGCCAAGCATCTCAAAGACCAGCTCCACCGTGAGCATGGGTAGTGCCAGCACCGGTAGCCTACCAGTGTTTAATCTTACAAACAGTAGAGTTGGCGCGGGACCACCCCAGCCCAACAAACGGCTAATGGGTACGGCTTCTCTACTTGGCGATGTGGCCAATATCAAGCCTAATGGGTCCAGCATACGCCCTAATGGGGAGAAGATTATGCATAACAACATCAGAAATGCGTCAGATAGCCACCCTGTCCTGGCGGCTTCAGCCAGTGCGGGTACGAACAACCGGAGCCGCCTGGCCGCACCGAATAGTCAATCAATGAATTCCAATAGCCAAAAAGGGAATGGGAGCAGGAGTGCTTCCATGACCGCAGTGATCAATAACCAAAGTCCCGTATCTAGTTCTTCCAATCTTAGTATATCACAGAACATGCAGCAAGGTGACATTCCGGTGCAGGCGCGACGCCCGTCAGTCAGTAATTTACTGCGGAAAGATGCGGTGCACAACGGAAACAATCGCCGACCGGTTTCCCATAGTTCGTCAGGAAACTTCCAACAGCGTTCTGGTAGTATGTCCAGCAATTCATCCAGACCCAACAGCAGTGTTGGACCGGTCGCATCACCCAGAATGAGCCCGTCCATTGTTCCGGGCAGAGGGTCACCCAGTACACAGCAGCGACAGCAGCGGACGCCACAACAACAACAACAACAGCAACAACAACAACAACAGCAGCAACAACAACAACAGCAACAGCAACATATTCCAAAGCAAAGGGTCGGTGCGGGAATATTACAGCAACAACACCAGCATAAGAAACAGAACATACCCCAGCTACGGAATAGGGGCAGGAGTTTTCATGATGGATTGGTTATGTCTTCATCTCAGCCGAATCTGCGCACACCAAATGGGATCAATGGTGACCCGAGAGGCGGACGTGGCGGTGGCAGGCAGAACGCTCCACCTCTACCGTTTCATAAGATGATACCGAAGCGAGCGTCGCACAACCGTAGGGTCAAATTTGACGAGATGGTATGCGTAACAGATACGTGGCGACCCGATCAATACGATCGCACACCACCCTACAAGGACAAACCAGAGAGTATGGCTCAGTTGCATGTGTACGCAGATGTTATGACTTTCAAGCTGACGGAAATGCTGGTTCACGAGAGCTCGTTGCAGTACACTAACAACCACTTGAACTCGTGCAGCGCTCCGACTCGGGCGGCCCTGAGTCAGGTACTTCAGTACATTCTGACCAACGGTGGGTACTAAGCTGGAGAGCTAGAAAGTGCAAAGGAGAGCTAGAAAGGGCATACTGTTGCAGTATTATACATCTTGTTGCATAAATGAATTCGAAACTGACTTTTAATGGATGAAACATGGATATTGTGTTGATGGGGTTATCTTCAGCTTGAATACAAAAATGCCGTGGATCGCTGCACTTATATCGAAAATGATGGCAGCGACGGTGAGAAACCATGTGGATGTTGTTCAGAGTGTTCGCGTCGCCACGATTCTTGCAGCATCTTCATTTGAGCAGCGCTGCTACACTGACAAGCCTAGAAGCTTTTTCGGTAGACACATTCGTCCATGTAAGTATCATGCATGATTATGGAAAGGATTGGTGAGTGAAGCGGGGTGAAGGCATTAAAATGCATGCAGATCAGTCACCAATGGTAGAGGCTGAAGAGCAGGTGGCAACTTCAATTCCAGTACGACCACCGAACTAACGGACGCCAATTCTAAGAATTGAAGGCAAGATTTGCACTTCAACATTCTTTGAGCAGTAGTAAATAGGAATATAGTGGCACAGATTACCCTAGCGTCGTGCGAGCAGCACATCGTGGTTAGACAGTAGTGTATTTGCGTATACTGAGCCACGGTATAGCACAACCTATACAATACCTAGTTACTACATGCACATTTCACGACCAGAAATACATACCCTGTTTGACATCTAGTGTTAGAATACAACCGTGTCATAAGCGTCAACAGCTGTTGTCAAAACACAAATAGTCTTGTGTGGCAAGTCGAGTGATTAGTGTTTGAAATACAATGGTAGGTGATTGATATCTAGAAAATAATGTCCAATCACCGAAAGGAGTATTTCAATAGTACTGTAAGAAGGAACAGGAAGTGGCTCGGGCAGTGTTAGTGAGCAACGGAAGGAGGCATTAGGCTGATACAGGAGCATGTATAAGGTGTACACATACATACACACACAATCAGAGCATAGTCTCGCAGGTAGTCAAGGATTCAACAAACCATACTACAAGGTGCTTTATTTTTTACGTACTATACCTTCCCCGATTTGGTCTCAATATGTGCTTCCCATATCTGAGCATATATTTAACGTTCAAACTAAACCATGGTTCGAACCTATCCAAATCGTCCATCCTGAATAAACGCGGTATCAACTGACCCGAACCCCTTTAGTATGTGGGTGTATTGCCAATCAGATACTGAATGCTCTGCTATACTTTCGCGATTAATGGTTCGACATTTATCGTATAGCCTCTTTTTTATAGTTGGATATACTTCCTGAAAAACTATGATATAGCCTTTTTGTAGCATATATTGGATAGCGTTCATTCAATGCTGGCACAGATAAGTTTGAATCAAATGTTGGCGTATTTTAACCAGATGCACGTAATGATTACCAAGCCTGTGAAGTACGTCTCACTCTGAGATCGAGTGTGATTCGAATTCCATATCTATGTTTCCGTTTAGGTCGCCACTTGACTTGCACAATAGAAATCTCGCCTCGAGACGTTGCGGTCGATTATAGCTATAGCACAAGTAGGCAGCTGTAGGTAAACTACTAAGCTGTCGATTATTTCCGTTGTTGAAAATAGCTGCCTGTTCCTAGGAGTTTATAGTGATAGGTCAGAGGTGATCTCACAATCGATCCATTTATAGTTGCTCAGGATATACACATAGTAGGCATAGTGGCCGCACTTTGTTGATCGAGAGATTTTGGCGTTCTCCCAGAAAGCACGTTATCTGCCACCGACGCCGCGTTACGCCGTAAAGATGTAGTTTAGTAGGTGCAAGATAGTGTCGAATGATAGAAAATAGGTATCTGACAGTACGGTAAAAATCTTTAAATAAACGTATATTGAATCGTATAGCCTGCTGCGGGAGTAATTGTTTTCACTCCAGCTCATCACCAAAGAAGTTATGCATGCGACTGTGAGCTGGGTTTTATGCTTTCAGTATTCTCACTTGAATACTAGAATGCCTTACTCCATCAGTGATGTACGGGATATTGTCTTGTCGGTTGTGCTGGAAAGAAAGTTACTCTTTCAAACCACCTCAACCATCAATGCGGCACGGATGGAATCTCAAACAGAATAGGAAAACTACGAGTCTAAATGGTATGTCAAATCTTGTTAAAAATCGATGGTAAATTTTCTAGGGAGACTAACTAGTAAAAGTAGAACGTTTAGATTGATAAATTTGTATATTTTTACACACTTATTTACTGAACACTGCGTCCAACACCCCCACCTGTTGTCTGAGATTTATTGAACCTTATTGAGAACCTACTCAGATCAATGGTATTCCAATATATCGGCGAGTGTCTCTATGTACTACAGTTATCCGGATTTTCGAATTCAGTCACATTTCCAACCACAACCGGACAAGTATATAAACAGACCGCCCCACTTGGCGATTATCCATACCCTTAGCCGATACCTCTCGTACATGCAGATGTTACGAGTGAATTTATATACAGGTACACTTGCATTTGTAGCACGAAAATGTTCCAAGCATAAACACATGTAATTGTTAACATATGCACACATGCATTCCGCGCACGCACGATCCTCGAAATTACCGACCTGAAACCCACAGCAAAATATTCGCCGCCGTCCACTGATATATATCATATCTCGAGCTTACAACACGAACAAACACACATACACACAAATACATATATATATATATATATATATATATATAAGTACACACACACACACACACATACATATATATTATTATATACACATACACACACTACTATATATTATTATTACTACATACACACACACACACACACTATATATATATATAGTATATATATATATATATATATAATATATTA